AAAAAAAAAAAAAAAAAAAAAAAAAAAAAAAAAAAACCAAAAACCCAGCCTCAGAGCTCACAGGGCAGGCGAGCTGTGTCCGAACTTGTGCCCTCCTCCACAGGGCACACTGCAGAAGTTTGTGGACGACCTTTTCGAGACCATCTTCAGCACGGCGCACCGCGGCTCCGCCCTGCCCCTGGCGATCAAGTACATGTTTGACTTTCTGGATGAGCAGGCGGACAAACACGGCATCCATGACCCGCACGTCCGCCACACCTGGAAGAGCAACTGGTGAGTGAGGGGCGAGCAGAGGATGAATCGGGAGAGGCCAGCCTGGAGTCCGTGAGCTCAGGCGGGCCTCAGGCCTCGCAGAGGGGGAGAGGGGCCGGGGTCCACCTTCCCAGCAGGGACTCTACACAGGCGCTCTCTCGGGGCCTTCATCTCCCCGATTATTTGTGTGCTCACTTCCTCTCTCCCTTCCCTCTAGTCGAATCATCCTTCGTTCCTATCAGCAAACATTTAACCAACTAAATGAGCAAACATGAACATGCCAGATGTGGCAGCCAGGTGGCTCTCACATCCAGGTCCCTCCCCTGTGCCTGACACTATGTTAGACCCTGAGGCTTCTGCCCTTCGTGGGCTGACAGTCACGGGTAAGAGACAGGAGGGCAGCTGTTCGGACAGAGAGGCACACGCGACAGTAGGGGGTGCATGTGTGCAGCTGCATTGTAGAGGGGCAGCATCTCACAGCGACTCTTAAGTGGACTTGGAAGCACATCTAGGAGTGACCTAGGTGAACGAGGAGAGTTTCCATTCTATTCAAGAAGTGGTCTTCCCTTTCCACAAACCCCCTTCCCAAACTCCCTTTGGGGAAGGGACCGTACCATAACTACTGTGTCTTTGAGACGAGGGGATCCTCTAGGATCCTCTAAATGACCCTCTAGGTGTCTCACCATGGTCCCCTCTCTCCTTTAGCATATATATCACCCTTTCCCTTCATCTGTGTGTCAGTTGTGTTTCAGTCTGAGACTGCAAGGTCAGACATCAGTATTCAGCTCTAGTGATGGAACCTTGCACAAAGCTGGGACTCAATAAATATTGATGAAGATGCAGGGCCAAGACGGTCTCTTCTTGAGAGTTCTACCTGGGATAAAGCTGCCTTATATTTGGTCTCTTCAGTTCCAGAATCCCCTCCCAGTAGTTTTACACGGTCCCTGTCCTGGGGTGCTCTTCCCCGGGACATTCTTCCAAAGCAGCACGAGCCTGCTGCCCAGCACCCACCAACTGCTAGGACTGACATGGTACTAGGGCTCAGCCAGGTGCCCTGACAACCAGCCCCAAGGTCCAAACCAAAACCTAGATTTAGGTAGAAGTCAGCCTGTGGCACTGAAACGTTATTTAATGTAGGATGCTCCGGCTTCTCCTCTCTTGCACCTGAAGCATAGAGCATCGCTACTAAAACTGGGAAATCAGGCAGGTACAGAGCTTTGGGCCATAGAACTGAAGAGTAGGGTTTGCTCCCACAGTAGTTCTGGGTGAGAGAAGATCTTGCATCGTGGAGCTCTTGCAGTCTTTCTGAAATAAGACTCTTAGACTCTGGATTCCCCATCTAGTACAGTACACTGGGTGACGGCTGTTCTGTCCTCCGAAAGGCCTGCAGGTCTTGTCCCTCCCAGTGCCTGCCTCTAGGTGAGATTGCATTGCATTCTGCCCATCTTTTCAGCATGACTCTACAGAGCTGTTCCAAGGGCACATGCCCCTGATCTACCCAGTCTGCTTCTCTCTGCCACCAGGTCTTCCTACTTACCACCCAGTTGAATGTCTGCAGCCTTCAGAATTCAAGGAGTGCCCTGCCCAGACTTTATCCAGGTGCTGGGAGAGCTGGTATTTCCAAAACATGCCCTTGTTCTTGTAGCCCTTTACAAGTACATCCGCCTGAAATGGCATCTACACCATTTGCTTTCAGCTCATACCTCCCACTGGGGTAAGGTAAGGGCACCTCCAACGATGAGATGCCATAAAGTCCTTGGAGGGAGGGCAGAACCTTCTTCCTGCCCG